AAATGCCCGCAATAAATTTGCCGGGAATACGTTATATATCCGGTAGCTTACCGGAAGCTTTAACCGGAACGCCAAACCGGTTAACCCAACCATTTTTAAAACCTGGAAAGGTTTTAACCATTTATCTAACAACTTTTTCGACGGCCTTTTTATTTTAATATTCGCCGTATTTAGCAATACCCAATCGCTTACCCCGAAAAGCACCGGGGTCCTGTTTTTATTATAATACTTTTTATATATATTATTTGCTTTTTTTAGCAATTTTTTGGTTTGTTTCCTAATTGCTTCCAAAGCCTTTGCCTTAATTTTAGCCGTTGCCGAAAGTTTTTTTTTAATTACCCAAAGGTTATAAAGCTTTTGTAAGTAAAACCTTATTAACAAAAACGCCGGGGTTTTTTGCAACCCCAAATGCACGTTTGTATTGTGCATTTACGTTGCCAAATGCAATAGCAACGCCCAATCGTTTTGCTTTTTGCAGTAAAAGCACCGGAGGTAATGCTTTACTATTTAATTTGTCCGTTCCGTTTGCCCGTCGGTTTAAAAATGGTATGCTATTGATAGCCTTTTTGCAACCCTTAAGTATTCGGCGAAAATTATCCAAAACCCGTTTGTAAATAGCTTGTTCCGGTTCGATATAATCCTTTCGGGCGTTTTTAGCAACCTTTAAACGTATGCAAATAAAAAATTTCCCAATTTTTTATTGGTTAATTTCGTAAACGTTAGGATAAAAAGCTATATTTAGTAAACCGATCGATTATTACCAATATTGCGTCGCGCTTTTTGCCGGCTCCATTTACTAACGTTAAAAGCTTTTCGATAAAATCCATCGATAGCTTTTGTTCCGGGCGGTTTGGCACGGGCAAAAATGCTAGCAACCCGTAAGGTATTTATATTTTTGGTTTTGTTTATTAGCATATTTAATACGTTCGCACGTATTTGCGTACGTTTTTAACCATACCCGGCCATTTAAATTGCCGTTTAAACTTTTTTAAAGTTTTGGCCATACCTTTGTAACCCCCCGTTGGGTTATTGTATTATTTTTAAAGCATTGCCCGTTGCAACGGCGCTAAATTCGGAATTTAAATTTTTTTTTTGTGCTTAAGCAAACCGTTGTTAATTTTTTAAACGTTGGGCTTGTTTTTCCAAATACCGCTTTAAACGAAATCGTTTTTTGCTTGTATTTCGAAAATGCGCTTTAATATCGTTTTAATATCCTTTTTAATGGTAATCGTCCTTACGTAAGCTACTTTTCGGAATTTAACCAATAAATTGCTTCGGAATTTTTTTTTTGCTTTATTGGCTTCCCCGTTTACGGGTATATTTTGGGAACGTTTTAATAAATTATCCGCAAAGTTCCGGTATTTTGGCTTCCATTTAATCGTAAAATCGTACTTTGCTAAATTTTCGAACCATTTTGCTTAACGCTTTATTACTTTTTTTTTATTAAAATATGGGTATGGTTTAAATGGTTAGTAATTATTTTAATAATTTTTTATAAATAGGCTAAGTAATACCGTTACTTTTCGAAAGCTTTTACGATCGCTAACAATTTTAAATTAAAAATTGCATAACGCAATTTTTTTTATCGCAGCTTTTTCGATATGTAAATTATCGGGTGCTACCGGCCGTTTTGCAGTTACAATAGTACCGCCCTTATCGCAAAAGCTAAAGCGTTGGTTCGCACGCATAACGGTTTCGAAAGGTCGAAATGCATTAATACCGGAATTTTCGTAAATAATAGCTTTAATTTGTAAAAAGCCTTTTTTGCAATACTTCCTAAGTAAAACACGGTATTTTTGTTAAAAAGGTCCGTTAAAAGCACAATAATTTTTGCGTAACCTTTTACGAATTTCCGATAATACCCCGTAAAGCCCAAAAATACTTATTAAGAGCACGGGCGAAACCGCCCGGCAAAAAGCGGGGAGCGTTAAATGTACGGGCGAAACCGCCCGGCAAAAAAGGAAAAAAAGAGCGCTAGCAGCTAGCCAAGCACGAACCCCCCGGGAATATGCTAGCGAGCTATCGGTATCGCGGCCAAAGCATAATAGCAAAGCTAAAAAATAAAATAAAGCTTAAATTATACGAAAGCGTTTAAAGCGCGGAAAATTTAAAAAACCGACCCCGGGTGCCCAAAAAGGCACGAAAAAAAAGGAAATTAAAAAAAAACAATTTTTATTGGCAATAGCACTTTTGGTAAAAAATTTACGGAAGTTTAATAAAAAAAATACCGCATTCGGCCCGTAACCCGGTAACCACCCGCTTTTGCACCGATTAACCTTTAACATATTATTTTTTTTTTATACTTTTTTTATTTGGGAAATAAGCCCGGGTAATTACCGAAAGGGATTAAACAAGTTTAAAAAAAGCATTTGCAATTTCGTACCGTTTATAATAACGCTTAACGTTACGTTAAGCACGTTGGAAAAAGCCGTTAGGCCATCGGAACAAAATACCAAAAAAACCCTGCAAATTCCTAACGATTTCGAAAACTTTTCCGTAAAAAAGCTGCAAAAAATAAACGACGCGCTGGAAGCCCAAAGCAAACGCGTTCGTTTAATTTAAAAAATCCAAAATAAAAGGTCGAAGCATACGCATAAAGGTTTAAACGAAAATAAAAAAAATATTTTTAAACAACGGAAAGGTTTTACGTAAAACAAGGTTACTTTTAAACCTTCCATGCTTAAAAAATCGGCAATTTAGCAAAATATCGCCCATTATATTAGCAATTACAAATTTATTTTTAAAAGCGAAAAGGAACGTTACGGTAAGGACCGTATAAAAGTCCAAATAACCTTTAGCACTTTCGATTATCGTTAACGGGCATAATAAACAAAATATAAGCAAATGCATTACTTAAATACCGGGGTATTGTTTATTTAAACCAATTTTTTGCGGTAGCTTTAAGCAAGGTCGAAAAACCCTAATTCGCGGATATAGCTAGCGATTAAAAAGCTCGCGGGGGATACCGTTATTAAGCAAAAAAATTACAAATTGTTTAAAGCGTTTTAAATTTGTTAGGATTTGGTAAAAAACGACCTTTCCAAACTAGCACCTAAATGGATAAAAACGATATTGCTTTTTAACCGGTTCCGCCCCGAAATCCAAAAACGGGTAATATTTAAAAGCCTTTTTTACATTATGGAAAAATTGCAAATTAAAGCTTTTAAAACAGAAATAATATCGGAACCGTACAAAGGGACCCCGGGGAATATAAATATCCCAGCCTTTAAAAAGCCGGTTACTTGCTTTAAGTACGGGCAGTTAAGCCATATCGTTGCAGCATGCAAAATACGAACGGACAACCCGAAAACCCCGTTGGCCCTAACGACCATACAAAAGGCAAAAGGGAAAAGGCCCGAAATACGGTGTTACGGGTATAAAAAATTGGGCCATATCCGGCCGGCGTGCCTTAAAAAAAACAAAATATCGCTACCCAATTCGATACCGCTATTTGGCCGTTTAGGTACCGGGGTTTAAAAGTGCGCCCCGGTGGTTAAAACGCGCTAAAAAACCGAAATGTATTTACGGATTAACGGTTGCCGGGTAAAGTTAAAAGCGCTGGTTAATAATAAAAGCAACGTTAATTTGCTGCACAGCCGTTTTTTGGTAAAAGCAAAAAAAATACCGGTACCAAACGGGGGCCACTTAGCGTAGCTCGATACCAAAAAACGCATGCCCACGCTAAGGGTAAAAAAATATAAAATTCGGGTAACGGATAGCTAAAAAGTAACCCGAAAATTAATAGTATTTTACGTGGTAATGCCCCGGGCCGGGTACAATATTACGTTAAACATGCTTTAATTCCAACAAAAAAACATTAAAATCCGGTTTAAAAATATAAGGTAAAGGTTCCCGGTAATTACCAAAAAGGTTAAAATAATTTCGTTGGAAATAGCCAAAAAGCTAATCCAATTGGGATAAGCGATAACCGTACTAACGGTTGCACGCCCGGAAACCCCGAAAAACCCCGGGGAAAGGTTAAAAGCTTTCCCGAAATGGGTTAAAAGGATAATTGCAAAATATGCGTAACTTTATAAATTAAACTTTTTACCAAAATATATAAGCTAAAATTACGCGATCGAATTAAAAAAAAAACGATGCCGCTTTACGAAAGCATTTATTTTTTATCCAAAAAGGAATTAAAAACTTTCCGGGGGTACTTCGATAAGGCCATAACGAAAGGTTGGATCCGGCATTTAACCAACCCCGCCGGCGCCGGAATCCTATTCGTTTTAAAAAAGGACGGGAAGCTTTGCTTTTATATTAATTATTGGGGTTTTAACAAAATTACCAAAAAAAACCGGCTAGCATTCCCGTTAATTTACAAAATATTTAACCGGGTATTTAAAAACCAATACTTTACCAAATTGGATTTAAAAAACGCTTATTACAAAATACGAATTCGATAAAAAAACGAGTGGAAAATTGTTTTCCGTTGCAAATATGGACATTACGAATACCTAATAATGCTTTTCGGTTTGGCCAACGCTTTAGCAACGTTTTAAAGCTTTATTAATATAGCGTTTGGGGAATTAATTAATAGCAATTGCATCGTATATTTGGATAATATCCTTATTTTTTCGAAAATATAAAAAAAGCACCGCAAAGCAATAAAAACGGTGCTAAAGCAATTCGAACGGTTTAAGCTTTACGTTAGCCCGGCCAAATGCAAATTCGAAACGGATAGTATCGATTTTTTAGGGTTTAAAATAACCAAATTCGGGGTCGAAAGCCTGCCGGATAAAATTATTGCAATCCTAAAGTAAAGGATACCGAAAAGCGTTAAAAACATTTAAATATTTTTGGGCTTTACGGGGTATTATCGGAAATTTGTAAAAGGTTACGCAAAAATTACTATGCTTTTAACGAACTTTTTTAGCAAAAATACCGTATTTTACTTAAAAAGTATTGCGAAAAAAGCTTTTTGCAAATTAAAGCTATTATTTACAAAAGCTTTGGTATTGGTGCATTTCGACCTTTCGAAACCGCTATGCGTGCGGACCAACGCTTTGGCTTTTGCAATAAAAGCGGTGCTGCTGCAGCTACAAAACGGTCGGTAGCACCCGGTAGCTTACATATCGAAAAAATTGCAACAAAAAAAGCTGCGCTATGCAATTCCTAATTTAAAATTGCTGGCGATCGTAAAAGCTTTTAAAAAGTAACGGCATTATTTGGCTTACTTACAAAAAATTATTAAAATAATTACCAACCATTTAAACCATACCCATATTTTAACAAAAAAAAAGTAATAAAGCGCCAAACAAAGTAATTTAAAAACCTAACAAAATATAACTTTACGATTAAATAAAAGCTAAAATACCGGAACCCCGCGAATGGTTTATTAAAACGTTTTTAAAATATACCCGTGGACGGGAAAGCCAATAAAGCAAAAAAAAAATTCCGAAACGATTTGCTAGCCAAATTCCGAATAGCAATTTACGTAAAAACGACCATTACTAAAAAAGATATTAAAATAACATTAAAACGCATTTTTAAAGCACAAGCAAAAAACGATTTCGTTTAAAACGGTACTTAAAAAAGCAAGCTTAACGTTTAAAGGATTAACAACGGTTTGTTTAAGCACAAAAAGAAAATTTGGGTCCCGAATTTAGCGCCGTTGCAACGGGCAATGCTTTAAAAACAATACGATAACCCAACGGGGGGTTACAAAAGCATGGCCAAAACTTTAAAAAAGCTTAAACGGCAGTTTAAATGGCCGGGTATGGCTAAAAACGTACGCAAATACGTACGGACGTATTAAATATACCAACAAACGAAGCCAAAAACATAAGCATTTTACGGGCTGCTAGCATTTTTGCCCGTGCTAAACCGCCCGGAACAAAAGCTATCGATGGATTTTATCGAAAAGTTTTTAACGTCGGTAAATAAAACCGGCAAAAAGCGCAACGCAATATTAATAATGGTCGACCGGTTTACTAAATATAGCTTTTTTATTTTAACGTTTACGAAATTAACCAATAAAAAATTAAAAAACCTTTTATTTGCATACGTTTAAAGGCTGTTAAAAACGCCCAAAAGGATTGTATCGAACCGGAACAAGCTATTTACAAACGGGTTTTGGATAACCTTCGCCGGACATTTAAAGGTTGCAAAAAAGTTATCGATAGCATACCACTTTTAAACCGACGGGCAAACGGAACGAACAAACCAAGCAATAAAATATTATTTCCGGTGCTTTTATTACGAAAGGCAAAACGATTGGGCGTCGTTATTACATTTAGCAACGTAAATGCACAATACGAACGTGCATTTGGGGTCGCAAAAAACCCCGGCGTTTTTGCTAATAAAGTTTTACCTACAAAAGCTTTATAACTTTTAAGTGGTTAAAAAAAAACCTTCGGCAACGGTTAAAATTAAAGCGGGGGCTTTGGAAGCAATTAAAAAATAAGCCAAAAAACTGTTAAAAAAAACGAATAATATGTATAAAAAGTATTATAACAAGGGCAAAACCCCGGTACCTTTTGGGGTAAGCAATTAAATATTGCTAAATACGGCGAATATTAAAATAAAAAGGCCGTCGAAAAAGCTATTAAATAAATGGTTAAAACCTTTCCAGGTTTTAAAAATGGTTGGGTTAACCGATTTGGCGTTCCGGTTAAAGCTTTCGGTAAATTACCGAATACATAACGTATTTCCGGCAAATTTATTGCAAGCGTTTAAAAAAAAGCCCGGCAAAAAACCAAAAAATAAAAAACCAAAAATCGAAAAAAAAAAAGGATCGTTTCGAAATAAAAGCTTTGTTAAAATATAAAGGGTTTTTGCAAAAACGAAAATATTTGGTTAAATGGATAGGTTATAACGAATCGGAAAATTCGTAAATTCCAAAAAAGGATATTACGAAAAAAATTGTTTAAGCGTATAAAGCAAGCTTATTAAAAGCAAGCTTATAAAATAAGGAAAATACCGGACTTTAACGGGTAAATACCCGGAAAGGACGGGGGTATTACAGGAAAGGAATAATAAGGGCCAAAAAAATGGCCCAAAAGAATGTTTTAACGTGCTAAACCGGCTAGCCACCGGAAAAAAACGTAAAAAACCCGTAAACGGCTTGTAATAGCCGTAAAATATCGTATTTTATAAATAAAAAGTTAGGTAAAAACGGTATAGTACGGGGAACGCCCTAAATTAATGGTGCGATATATTTAAATCCCGAAGGACATGCAAGGTATAGCACATTTCGGAAAGCCCGTAAAAAGCATGCTTAGCGCAATACGCTAAAGCAATTACCGCACTTTAAACGTACGTTATGGTAAAAAATACTATTGCCCGCCCGAAAAAAAATAAAAAAACTTTCGAATAGCACGGCGAACGGGCCTAAGCGTTTGGGTAGCGGTAAATGCATGTTAGCGGTACTTAAACCCATTGGGGAACGAAAAAAAAGCATTTTAAAATTATTTATTGGGGCATTAAAACTTAGCTGGTAAATATAAATACCAAAACCTCGTAATGTTGCAAAAGCAATATAACGAAAGGAAATTATAATTTTAATTATAACAAATTAACGAAAAAAATTTAAAATTAACCACTTTTTAAAAAAAAAATACTAATAACTAATTAAAAAAACATATAAAAAAAATCGATTAAATGCCGTATCCAAAAAAACCAAAATTTCCAAAAACCACGTCCTTTTCGCTAGCGCTACAATTATTGCCGCTAAAGTTATTGGCGCCGAAAGCGGTATTTCCCGGCGCTAATACGAACGCCGCACCCTTACAAAAAACCGCGCAATTATAAGCTTAAATATCCAAATGCGCCGCAATCGTAACAAAACTAACGGTAATATTACCAAAAAAAACAACCATACCTTTTTCGAAACGCTTAAAAAACGCTTTTATTTCGTTAAAAAAATTACCGATGCTAATTAAAGCTTAAACTTACTTTTTCGTTTAAATAGCAATAGCGTAAAATTATTAAAAAATGTTTTGGGTAGCTTTTAATATTGCAACGTTAGCAATTTTGCGCTGGATGCGCTTTTAAATAACGGTTTAACGTTTGTAACGCGCAAATTGCTCGGCCAATATGGTATAAAAGGATTTGGCTTTTTAAATAACCTTGCAAGCGCGAAATTGGGCTTTAGTAAGCTTTTCGAAAAGCTTCGGTATCGCTTTAAGCAACCGCTTATAAACGGTATTTAAAATTTTATAAAGGTTTTGGGCCATTTCCCAAAACCATTCGGGAAGTTTAACGCAAGCTTTATTGCTAATTACGTTTTTGCAATAAATACATTTAAAAAACCCCGTACAATTATCGGAGCATATCGGTATACGGGGGTTAACGGCATAATTTTAATATGCTTAACAACCAAAATAACGGTTATAGGATACCGTACGTTCCGTATAATTGTTTTTAAAAAAGGGCAAACAAATAAGGTTTTAATTATTGCTTTATTGGAAATCGATAACTTCCCGCAACGAAAGCGCGTTGCAAATACCCATATAAAGCAAAAAAAAGGCAATGTTCGTTTCGAAAGCAAATTTATTGGAATCGAAAGCGTTGCGGCGGCGTTTATTGCGCGCTTTACGCTTTTTTTCGGCGAAGGTCTTTTTACCGCGGCGGTTAAAACCCGCCGGAAGGTTACCGGCAAAACGTTTGCGGGAGTTTTAAAAAGCTGCAAGCGCAAAAGGGCCCAATAAACCCGCAACATTTAAAAGGCTTACCAAAAGGTTACCGGCAAAACAATTGTTAAGGATTTAAAGGATTAAAAGCTTTGGCGAAACCGAATTTAAATCCAATTAAATTACGATAGCTAAAAAAAATACCGGGGGGTCGTTAAAAAAGGCCAACGGGCCGGTTAGGACCGAAAAACCCGAAACGGACACCCAAAGGAACATTACCTTCTTTACGTAATTGGGTACGAAAAATAACATTTGCAATTACCGGTTAGGTCCAAATGTTTAAAAGGAACGGCCAAATATTAATTATTTACGGTTACGATCGTTAAAGTTATTAAAATGGTTATTAAATGTACAAAAAGGAAAAAAAAAGGCTTGTAGCTTCGAACGGAAAAAAAAGCCTTTTATATGCCGGTACGGACCCATTTTTCCGGATGCTACAAAACCTTACAGCCGGTTTCCCCAAGCGTTACCAAGCATTAAGGCGGTTTAGCGAAATACCGTAAATTACCGGCTACTTACGGGGTCGTACGCGCGGTACAAGCGGTTTGGGACAAGCCGTATCGGGAAGGGGCAATATGTTAAAAGCACGGGCAAAACCGCCCGGCAAAAAGCGGAAAGCGTTAAATGTACGGGCGAAACCGCCCGGCAAAAAAGGAAAAAAGGGGCGTTAGCAGCCAACCGGGCACGAACCCCCCGGGAATATGCCGGCAAATTACCGGTATTGCGGCCAAAGCATAATAACGAAGCTAAAAAATAAAGTAAAGTTTAAATTGCACGAAAGCGCTTGGAACGCGAAAAATTTAAAAAACCGACCCCGAATGCCCGAAAGGGCACGAAAGAAAAGAAGGTTAAAAAAGGAATAATTTTTATTGGCGATAGCACTTTTGGTAGGAAATTTACGGAAGCTTAACAAAGGAAACACCGCATTCGGCCCGTAACCCGGTAACTACCCGCCTTTGCACCGATTAACCCCTAACAATACTTAAATGTTTTTAACGCTTTCCGGTATCCTTTATTTTAAAATTGCAATAACCTTGTTCGGCAGGATTTCGACCCCGAATTTGGTTATCCTAAACCCCAAAAAATCGATACTATTCGTTTCGAATTTGCATTTGGCCGGGTTAACGTAAAGCTTAAACCGTTCGAATCGTTTTAGCACCGTTTTTATTGCTTTGCGGTGCTTTTTTTATATTTTCGAAAAAATAAAAATATTGTCCAAATATACGATGCAATTGTTATTAATTAATTTTTTAAACGCTATATTAATAAAGCTTTGGAACGTTGCTAAAGCGTTGGCCAAACCGAAAAGCATTACTAAGTATTTATAATATTTATATTTGCAGCGGAAAGCAATTTTTTATTTGTTTTTTTGTTAAATCCGTATTTTGTAATAAGCGTTTTTTAAATCCAATTTGGTAAAGTACTAGCTTTTAAATACCCGGTCAAATATTTCGTAAATTAGCAAAAATGCTAGCCGGTTTTTTTTAATAACTTTGTTAAAACCCCGATAATCGATACAAAAGCGGAATTTCCCGTCCTTTTTTAAAACGAACAAAATTCCGGCGCCGGCGGGGTTAGTTAAATGCCGAATCCAACCTTTTGCTATGGCTTTATCGAAATACCCCCGGAAGGTTTTTAATTCCTTTTTGGATAAAAAATAAATGCTTTTGTAAAGCGGTATCGTTTTTTTTTCCAATTCGATCGCGTAATTCCAGCCTATATATTTTAGCAAAGGGTTCGATTTATAAAGTTACGCATATTTTGCAATTATTTTTTTAACTTATTCCGGGAAAGCTTTTAGCTTTTTCCCGGGGTTTTTCGGGGTTTTCGGGCGTGCAATCGTTAGTACGGCTATCGTTTGTCCCAATTAAATTAATTCCTTAGCTATTTCCGATAAAATTATTTTAACCTTTTTAATAATTACCGGAAACCTTTATTTTATATTCCCAAACCGGATTTTAATGTTTTTTTGTTAAAGCCAAAGCATGTTTAACGTAATGTTGTACCCGGCCCGGGGCATTACTACGTAAAATATTATTAATTTTTGGGTTATTCCTTAGCTATTCGTTATTTAAATTTTATATTCCTTTACCTTTAGCGTAAGCATGCGTTTTTTGGTATCGAATTACGCTAAATAGCCCCCGTTTAGCACCGGCGTTTTTTTTGTTTCCACCAAAAAACGGTTGTGCAATAAATTAACGTTGCTTTTATTATTAACCAGCGCTTTTAACTTTACCCGGCAACCGTTAATCCGTAAATACATTTCGGTTTTTTAGCGCGTTTTAACCGCTAAAGCGCATTTTTAAGCCCCGGTGCTTAAACGGCTAAATAGCGGTATCGAATTAGGTAGCGATATTTTGCTTTTTTTGGGGTACGCCGGCCGGATATAGCCCAGCTCCCCATACCCGTAACACCGTATTTCGGGCCTTTTCCCCTTTGCTTTTTATATGGTTATTGGGGCTAACAGGGTTTCCAAGTTATCCGTTCGTATTTTGTATGTTGCAACAATGTGGTTTAATTGCCCGCATTTAAAGCAAATAACCGGCTTTTTAAAGGTTAAAACATTTGTATCCTTCGGGGTTCCTTTGTACGGTCCCGATATTATTTTTGTTTTAAAGGTTTTAATTTGCAATTTTTTTATGGTATAAAAAAAGCTTTTAAATATTACCCGTTTTTGGATTTCGGGGCGGAACCGGTTAAAAAGCAATGTTATTTTTATCCATTTGGGTGCTAATTCGGAAAGGTCGTTTTTTACCAAATCCTAACAAATTCGGAACGTTTCGAACAATTTGTAATTTTTTTGTTTAATAGCGGTATTTCCCGCAAACTTTTTAATTGCTAGCTATATTTGCAAATTGGGGTTTTTCGATTTTATTTAAAACTACCGCAAAAAATCGGCCCAAGTAAGCGATACCCCGGTATTTGGGTAATGCATTTGCTTGTATTTTGTTTATTATGCCCGTTAACGATAATTAAAAGTGCTAAAGGTTATTTAAATTTTTATACGGTTTTTACCGTAACGTTCCTTTTCGTTTTTAAAAATAAATTCGTAATTATTAATATAATGGGCGATATTTTGCTAAATTGCCAATTTTTTAAGCATAAAAGGTTTAAAAGTAACTTTGTTTTACGTAAAACCTTTTTATTGCTTAAAAGTATTTCCTTTATTTTCGTTTAAGCCTTTATGCGCATGCTTTAACCCTTTATTTTGGATTTTTTAAATTAAACGGGCGCGTTTGCTTTGGGCTTCCAGCGCGTCGTTTATTTTTTGCAATTTTTTTACGAAAAAGTTTTCGAAATCGTCGGAAATTTGCGGGGTTTTTTTGGTATTTTATTCCGGTAACCCAACGGCCTTTTCCAACGTGCTCGACGTAGCGTCGGGCGTTATTGTAAGCGGTGCGAAATTGCAAATGCCTTTTTTAAATTTGCTCGATCCCTTTCGGTAATTACCCGGGCTTGTTTCCCAAATAAAAAAGGTATAAAAAAAAACAATATGTTAAAAGTTAATTGGTGCAAAAGCGGGTAATTACCGGGTTACGGGCCGGATGCGGTATTTTTTTTATTAAATTTTCGTAAATTTTTTACCAAAAGTGCTATCGCTAACAAAAATTGTTTTTTTTTTTAACTTCCTTTTTTTTGTACCTTTTTGGGCACCCGGGGTTGGTTTTTTAAATTCTTCGCGTTCCAAGCGCTTTCGTGCAATTTAAGCTTTACCTTATTTTTTAACTTCGCCATTATACTTTGGCCGCGATAC